TTATGGGGCCTAGGAGGAGAGAGAAAACAATGTTGAAGTATTTTATATGGAATGAAGCTTGAGTCCTCATGGAGACAGAGAGGGCAGGGTAGAGAGGTTAGAAGTAAACTTAGAGAAATATTCATGTTTAGCAGAAGGAAAGGAGATCACTACCCTACAGAATGTGTCAGCAAGACCCTATTCAAATGCCGTGTCAAAGAGGCCAAAAGGGAATAAACAAGTTTAAAGTATTACTGTCCTAAGAAATCAGTATGAGTGACTTGGTGCCTGTATCTCAGTGGTTAGGGCGCTGGCCACATACACTGAGGCTGGCGGGTTCAAACCTGGCCCAGGCCTGCTAAACAGTAGTGACAACTGCAATAAAAAAATAGCTGGGTGTTGTGGCGGGTGCCTGTAGTCCCTGCTACTTGGGAAGCTGAGGCAAGAGAATCCCTTAAGCCCAAGAGTTTGAGGTTGCTGTGAGCTATGACACAACAGCATTCTACCCAAGGCACAGAGTAAGACTGTCTCAAAAAAAAGAAAAGAAAAAGAAATCAGGATGGATAAACCAAGTGCTTAAATTTGAAAATGAGTTATTTATTTTGGTACTATTTTTCTTTTCATGGAAATCTGGAGATTTCTGATTTTTCAAAATCACTTTTATGTAACAAATTGCTTTCATTTTATATAGTAATTTGATCTGCTTTTTGTCAAGCCAGGTATAGCAGTGTCATTTTTGTTGCTAGTTATTTTAAATGGCTAAACTCATACGTAATAATAAATGTAATGGTTTTTTCAATTAAAAAAAACCATTCAGTAGCAGTCCTACAGTTTTTCATAGTTACTTGGTGAAACCTGCATTTCTAGAATGTGGATGGTTTTCTTTTAAGATGGCAGTCTTCATTTATATAGTGACTATAGTATTGATGAGAAGATAGCCAAAGCATATTTAACCATATAGGTGAGTCTTTTTCTAAGTATCTAATGTACATTCTTAATTAAGTTTATTTCCCCCCCCCCCAGTAAACTCTAATCTAAAGGTTCTTTATACATAAAGGACTTTCTACGTGTAATTCTTAGTATAAATGCTATTTCTCAGCTGTTTGGTTCTTCGTATATAAGTCTGCCTCATAAAATTATTAGGGTATTTTAAAAGATGCATAATTTAAAATATTGGAGTATTTTCTAGGTAGATGCTCTCTTCTAATCAGTATATTTTTAAAAATTGATTAATAAAAAGTCCCTGTTTACAGAAATGAAATGATTCTGTAAGAGGATGACTCTGCCTAATACATCCTTATCTTTAACTTTCCTACTTTGAGTTAAGGTCTTTCAGAAGTGCATCTCTTATTCAGCTATATATAATTTTTTGTGAATATAATTTAGACCTGGAGTGTGCATTCTAGTGCTTTTAATATACTTTATTTCCAGATTTGTCTAGGTTTTTCAACAAACCTTCCTAAGTGTCAAATGACAGGATTTTACAAGTAGGTAGGACTCTAGCTATCATTTAAAATTTCTCTGTTATTCTATAGAGAAATGAGGTGATTTGCCCATTACTCTTGGCGGTCTTAGAAACCTCCTTCCTCTGTCTGTTAAGTATTTGTCTTTTAGTTTCACAAACATTATGCTAGGAGTTAGGTATAGTACCCTCTTTCAGAATGCTTTAAATATAATCATCCTATCATCATTAATGCTTTTACTGCATACATTTTTGTAGTAACTTTTATTTTATTTTTTTAAGTTCAGTATGTATTTCTAAACTAACAAGTTCATACCACTTCTTTTTGGGTAATATTTCTAGAATTCTTTAGTCAATATAAGAATTTTCTAGTTAGGAAGTCATTATTTTAACATCTGATCTTCTCATTCCTACTTTAAAAAATAAAAAATCCTTTATCATAATTGCTGAATATATTTTTTTCTTAGTCTTTTACTCTTTTTAAGTTTTTGCTCTTGTCAATGTATGTTAGCCATGGATTTTCTCTGCTATTCTTATTGCCATTTAAGGTATATGAGTTTTATTATGTGGTCTTTACTTATGTCCCAAATAATATACAGGAAGTATACTTGATTTTATTAGAGAAATGGTTCATATAAAATGCACTTATTTGGAAAATTTATTCCTTACTAATTTCACTCCATTTTCTAATTTTATTACAACATGCAATAAGTACTGGTATTAGCTCTCAGCTGAATTAAATGTCGTGTTGACTCATTTTCTTGCTGTACTTTACGTTTAATATTATGTTAGAGTCATACCTTTCATAGGCCAGAAAGGACATTTTTTTCTTCTGTTTTTTGAGATTAACCTTATTGCATTGCTGTCTAGTTAAATGTGTCTATTCAAATAGTGCCTTCATTATTGAAGTTTTGCTTCAAGAATTCTTACTTACAAATACTTTGACTGTAGTTTAGAAAGATGAGATCCTTTTTAGAGAGGAATATTTAACTTTTTTACTGGTTGGTTTGGTTAATCATATTAAAATGTTTATATGTTAAAATAGCCAGGGTATTTCTAGTTATATAGGGAAAGTGAAATTGTTTCCTATTTTGCATCATCAGCTGTTCGGAAAGCCTAGTTGGCAGATTGTAAGTATGGGTTTTAATTGTCTGAGGAGCTGTTAATGATAAATGTGGTTTTTTACTTAGTAAGGTTAGAAACAGATTCTTTTAAATCTATTTAAGGGTTTAAAGCAGATGCCTTTAATGAACATTAGTTAATCCAAATAGTAAATTTTTCCTTTTTTCTGATAGGATCAGATTTTATGATTTGATCATGCCCTTTTATGCCCTCCATATATAAAAGTCACTTGGAGTTAAACCAATGCCTTATAACAAGAAAATTGATGTCTTCTTGCCATATTGACAATGGAAATTGTTATACCCACGTATGACGTGGTGATTTTAAATATGATTGCTATTTTTTCTTTGCTATTTTAGAGTTTTAAAGTTCTACCTCTCCTAAATGATTCTTTCAGAGATCTACTAACTGTAAATATGGCAACATTAGTAAATAATATAAGTATAGGATTGATTTGTTCTTCCTCCTCCCAAAAAAGAAAAAACGTTTAGAACAAGATTGCTTAAACATCATAGGAAGGACGCTTAGCTTGTCCTTATGCTAGCCTGTGTAGGAGTACACACGATCCCCTTTGTCACTGCTGAGTGGGACCACTGCCAAGTCCCTTTCTCTTTGTGTCTGCACTTAAAATTGAGACTTGGAATAGTAATATAGTTCTGAAAACATGTGTTAGAGTAGATTTATTAAATAGTTTCTTTTTTGTTTTCTCTTCTGTGAAGTTTTGTGAGAATGAGATAAATCATGTAACACATGAGTGAGACTATTTCAATTTTGAGTTTTTAATGTAAAAGTTTATTTAGAGGTGAACTTTGTTCATGTGGTTACTTATAACAGTTCATGTAACTGTTTTTATGTGAGTAGGAACACATTGAAAACTAAAGACTTAAATCCTGATGTTTCTACTTACAATCTTTCCCTTTTGGCAGGTGCCTAGCCAGCTTGTATGGCTGCTAATGCCCTTGTGTCAATTGGGAGAAAAGGTTTCATTCTCTCTTGGTTTGGAATTGCTTTAACGTAGAGCTGGAATCAGTTAGCTTCCTCAGCTGTCTTACCATCCTGCAACTTTCTTCAGAGCCAAGAAGTAATCCTGTTTATGATTTCATTTTCTTTTCTGAGAAATTTTTGAGTGTATTAGACATTAGTTAAGTTTACTGGTTTTCTTTAATGTGATTTGTTTAAAGAGAAGCTGTTCTTTTCTGTTACTGTGCATTAATAAGCACCATTATACACATTTCTTCCTTTCCTCAAGCCAGAAGAAAACGAGTTTCTTTTTTGAGGCAATCCCATTTGTGGTATATTATTAACTTCTTGGGCAGAACCTTCCTTTTGTGGTGATATTTTCTCTTTCAACCAAAGTACAAACCTTGTGTGAATCAACTGTTCTTCTTCTGAATTTTAACTCAACCTCTGTAGTTAGTGAACTATACATTCATCCTTATGCCAGATTTTTAATACCAAAGAAAGAAAATTACCACTTTCCTCTTTCAAGCATTTCCTGGGACATTACAAATAAAACTCAATTTGTTCTAGATCAGTGGATACCGGAACAGAAAGGAGGTATTTCTTACCTGATAATGTGTGTGTGTTCCGATTCTGCTAATCCAGACATCCAATTGCATTTGTGGAAAATCATCCTTAGTTGTTATTTGTTAGGGAGTCAACTCCCTATTTTAGTTGTTTCTAAAATTCAGCCCCTAGATGTGCTTTAGATAGGGTAGCATTTTTACCTCTTTCAGAATACTGCTAAAGAAGTTTTCAACTGGAACGTAGTCTGAAGAATCACTGAGAGCAAAAAATTCAGAGTGGTGATTGGCCACCTCTGTTTGATTGACAGGTTGCAGGGAGAAACCCATTCGTTCTGGATTAACGGAACTGGAAAACAGAAAACAATTATCAGGTAAAGAAAACCTTTTCTTTAACCTTTGAAATTCACCATTTAAAGGATCAGTCAGACCACTAGGGAATTATAACTAAAAAGGATAAAATTTAGAGTCAGGTGAGCAGTGATCTCTGGCTACTTCCAGGTGTTATCCAAAAAGCCTCTACAGTTGCTACATCACTAGCCTTTGGAGAAAGAGTATGCTTGAATGAAGATAGATGGAGTGTAAGGGTCAATTACATGTTAAATCTGGGTTTAAAACATGAAGCAGAATTTTATGGGTGGGGGAGATTGGTGTTCTTGTATTTCCTGAATTGTGTCTGGTCTGTGGATAGAGTATTTTGTTTTTCAAGGCTATGCAAGAACTGGCAATTTCATGAATATCCACAAATTTGATTACTGTACTATGCTTGTTATATTTAATCTTCACTTCATTAGGATGTATTCTTACAGGATGTATCTTATGATACATCTTTTATCAAAAATAATAATAATAATAGTGACCAGTTCTTTATACTTCAATTGCAGTTTTTTTATTATTGATTAAATATATTTCAGATTGAAGGCCAAGGACATGGTGCAGTATTTGACTGCAAATGCTCTCCTGATGGGCAGCACTTTGCATGCACAGACTCTCATGGACATCTTTTAATTTTTGGCTTTGGGTCCAGTAGCAAATATGACAAGGTATAGTATGATGAATATATATATTAAATGTCATTATTTTAATCCATGGATGTTTAGAGTCCTTCCTTTCCTTCTGTTCCTTCCTTCCTTTCTCAGCGTTTTTGCATTTAGCATGAAGTTTGAAGATGTAACATTTTGGAAAGAAGGGTGAAGATTACATTTGTTAAATCTCACTTTTTTGTAATAGACATGTATGTGTGTATACACGCACAGACACACACACACATACATATATATCTATATATGAAGAAATAACTTTCTGCTGGTGCAGTTTTGTGAGTTCTTTACTTGGGGTATGTAAGTTTGGGATAGAAGATGTCCATAGCATGGCTCTTTTAAATTATATTTTGTTGATACAGATAATATGTATTTATTCAGAGTACAAACCTGTGGCTTTCATGTGGTTCTCAAAACTGTATAACCAATTAATGGTAGCTAATGTTACCCTGTCTCTCTCTGTCTCTTATTTTAATTTTTGAGATGGAATCTTGCTAGTTTATCCAGGCTACCTTTGGACTCCTGTTCTCAAGCAATCTTCCTGTCTCAATCTCCTGTGTAGCTAGAATTACAGGTGGTGTCACTGCACCTAGCAATTAAAGACTTAAGAATTAAATTGCTTATTTGTAGTGCAGTGATATAAAAGGTTAAGATAGTAAAAGTGAAATAGTTTATCATTTAGTTTAAAAAATTTTAAGTTAGGCTTGGTGCTTGTAGCTCAGTGGCTAGGGCACCAGCCACATGCACTGGACCTAGAGGGTTCGAATCCAGCCCTGGCCTGCCAAACAACAATGACCACTACAACCAAAAAATAAAAATAGTTGGGCATGGTGGGGGGCACCTGTAGTCCCAGCTATGTGGAAGGCTGAGGCAAGAGAATCGCTTAAGCCCAAGAGCTATGAGCTGTGATGGCATGGCACTCTACTGAGGGCAACAAAGTGAGACTATGTCTTAAGAATAATATAATTTTGTATTATCTTTTTTTTGTGTGTGTGGTTTTTGGCTGGGACTGGTTTGAACCCACCACCTCCGGCATATGGGGCTGGTGCCCTACTCCTTTGAGCCACAGGCGCCGCCCAATTTTGTATTATCCTTAAAAATTTAGAAAAAATAGGCTCATTGCCGATGCTTAGTGGTTAGGGCGCCAGTGACATACAATGAGGCTGGTGAGTTTGAACCTAGCCCAGACCAGCTAAACAACAGTGACACCTGCAACAAAAAAATTAGCTGGTTAGTGCAGTGGGCGCATGTAGTCCCAGCTACTTGAGAGGCTGAGGCAAGAGAATTGCTTAAGCCCAAGAGTTTGAGGTTGCAGTGAGCTGTGGCATAGACTCTGTCTCAAAAAGAAAAAAAAAATTAACTCTTAGAAAATCTTAATTTTTTTTTTTTTTTTTTTTTGAGACAGAGCCTCAAGCTGTCCCCCTGGGTAGAGTGCCATGGCAGCACAGCTCACAGCAACCTACATTCCAGGGCTCAACCGAATCTCCTACCTCAGCCTCCCAAGTAGCTTGGGAGCACAGGTACCCGCCAGAATGCCTAGCTATGTTTTGGTTGTAGCCGTCATCATTTGGCAGCCAGGGCTGGATTTGAACCCACCACCTTAGATGTATGTGACTGATGCCTTAGTCACTTGAGCCATAGGTGCTGAGCCGTTACTTTTTTTAATATCAGTTTATACTGCTCGCTCTGACCTAGATTTAAGGTAAAGCATGGTAGTTATATGAAAGTAAAAGTACTGCTAACTACTTTATGCCCAGATTTGATTTTACCATTTAATTTCAAATTGAATTTTGAATAACTTATTTTTAACAGTATCTTTTTACATAGTAGTTGCTCTTATCCACAAAAGATGTATTCAAAGGCTCCCAGTGGATGCTTGAAAGCATAGATAGTACTGCGGGCACTATAATTTTTCCTATACAGTCACGGTGGGTGTAGTGTATACAGACAGTATGGATATATTGGACAAAGGGATGATCTGTGTCCTAGGTGGCATGGTATGAGATTTCAGTCCAGCTCACAGTTCAAAACTTGAGTTGTTTAGATCCTGAAGTTTGTTGTTTTTTTTTTTTGGAGACAGAGTCTCACTGTGTCACCCTTAGTCGAGTGCTGTGGCATCACAGCTCATGGCAACCTCAAACTCTTGTACCTAAGCGATTCTCTTACCCCAGCCTCCCAAGTAGCTGGGACTACAAGTACCTGCTACAGCGCCCAGCTATTTTTTTTTTTTGTTATTGTTGTCTTGTTTCGCAGGCCGTGGCTGGGTTTAAACCCACCAGCCCCAGTGCCTGTGGCCAGTGCCCTAACCACTGAGCAACAGGCAGTGAGCCAAGTTCTGAATTTTTTATTTAATATTTTCAGACACTAGTTGACTACGGGTACCTGAAACTGCAGAAAGTACAATTGCGGATAAAGGGGAACTATTAAGTATATGTAGCTCATCCTTGTTGCAGAGAAAACTTTGAAAATGTACTTTTCTGATCATAAAATGTAATGTAGAAAACATAAGTGCTTGTTCATAATTAATTCCAGGAAATATTTTTTAATTATTGCTTACTACTACAATTTATATTAACATATCTCATTAGAGATGCTATAGATTTTTACCATATTTGTTTCTCATTGGAGATGATGTAGATTTTTATCTTCACCTGTTTTTCATGGACTTTTCTTTTTACAGATTGCAGATCAGATGTTCTTTCATAGTGATTATCGGCCACTTATCCGTGATGCCAACAACTTTGTACTGGATGAGCAGACACAGCAAGCGCCTCACCTCATGCCCCCCCCTTTTCTGGTTGATGTTGATGGTAACCCTCATCCGTCAAGGTACCAGAGGTTGGTTCCTGGCCGCGAAAACTGCAGGGAGGAGCAGCTCATCCCTCAGATGGGAGTAACTTCCTCAGGTTGGTGCTCATTTACATAGATAGCCAAATTTTCTCTTTCCACTGAATTGTTAAAATTGCCAAGTTAAAAAAAAAATGTGTCTTTGATTGTTTTAAGCAAAAGAGAAGTATAAGTACTGGTTTACTCTTATAAAGGTCTTTGATAATGCTTAAGAATTACAAAATAATTAAGGAACATTAGAGATTTAAAGCAGTAATTTTGGTTTATAGTCCTTTATAACCTCTAGGACAGGCATCCTCAAACTATGGCCCGCTGGCCACATGCTGCCCACCTAGAGCATTTATCTGGCCTGCCAGGTGTTTTGCCACCACTGCCTGTCCTGCTTAGCAGCCAACTCCTCCTGGGGCCCGCAGTCCGGCTCTCCAGTGGTCTGAGGGACAGTGAACTGGCCCCTTGTTTAAAAAGTTTGAGGACCCCTGCTCTAGGGTCTTAAGGTAGTGTTTGGTATGAGACAAGTCAGTTCATGTACTGTTCATTCTGTGATGTCATTGAAAACCTCTTCTGCTCCTGACATCTGCTAAGCCCTGGGTTTTCCATAGTGAGAAACAAACATGATTATTGCTCTCGTGGAGTAGGTTAGACAGATTAATAAACACAGTTATAAACAAATAAAGTTTTATAGGCTCGGCGCCTGTGGCTCAAATGGCTAAGGCGCCAGTCACATACACCTAAGGTGGTGGGTTTGACACCTGGGCCCGCCAAACAACAATGACGGCTGCAACCAAAAAATAGCCGGGCGTTGTGGTGGGCGCCTGTGGTCCCAGCTACTTGGGAGGCTGAGGCAGGAGACTCGCTTGAGCCCAGGAGTTGGAGGTTGCTGTGAGCTGTGAGACCACCGCACTTTACCCAGGGGGATAGCTTGAGGCTCTGTCTCAAAAAAATAAATGAATAAATAAATAAAGTTTTATTAAAGGGAACAGTAGTACATTATGAGAGATAGGACTAGATAGTTTATTCACATAGAAGATTGTTTTAAGAAGTAGTACATTTTTAAAGATTTATAAGAAGTAAGATAGGGGTGAAGAGGATTGAGCTATTTTAGTGAAGTGTAATTATTATCAAAGTTAAATTAGTTGAAGAATTGAATGGGAGTAAAAGGGAGATAGAGCCTACAAACTTCTCTCCCCTTCCCCCTTCTTATTCTTAAAAGGTCACTTTGTCAACTAGGTTGGAGCTTGGTGATGAAATTATAACTCACTATAATCCTGGGCTCAAGCAATCCTCCCACTTTAGTCTTCCACGTAATTAGGACTACAAGTGCTTATATGCCACCACACATGGCTCATTTTTTGAATTTTTTTTTTTAAGAGACAAGGTTTCCCTGGGTTATTTTTCCTACGCTGGTCTCAAATTCCTGGCTTCAAGTAATCTTCCAGCCTTGGCCTCCCAAAGTGCTGAATTGTAGGCATGAGCCACCATGTCTGCCTTTTTGCCCCTTTTGACAAAAAATGTAGAACTAATTTATTAAATAAAAATAATGGAGAGGTTCTGTAAAAAAGATTAACCCACTTCTGTCATTAATCTTCCTCTTATATTTTAGATTAGAAAAATACTTATGAAAATATTTTAAGTTCTAGACTCAGTTATAACAGACAAAATCTTTAAGTAGATTTTGTGATGAGGCATTTCTCAAAAATGAGTTTAGATTCTGTAAACAGCATGAAAAAATCAGTCTCATTGCATTGTGACAAACCCATGTGTTATTTGTCTTAAAGAATGTATCATGCAATTGCAGTAAAGATGGGAGGGCTGGATAGAAAAGGGCTACTCAGAATCAGATACGATCACTTTGAACGGAGGGTTAGGAAAAGCATCAGAGGAATTGGCCCTGCTGCTCTTGTAGAAGTGGGACAGTCTAGCAGACTTGACTATCTGGAGTGTGTGAGCCCAATGTGTCTCCCTCAGTATGTGAACATAGCATGACCTCACGGATCTGAGAAGAACAAGTAGTATTCAAGAATTCTAGGTAGGTGTTCAGATAGGAGAAGTCTTCCTAGTAGAGAAATAGTTGTTGTAGGACTGAAAATGTCTTTTGGAGAAGAATTGACAAGTATCAGATTGTACCCAGCTCTTAAAATGGGTATGTAGACTGGCCTTTTAGGCATAGGGAAATAAGCAAAAGACTGCTCTGTTAAAATCAGTGCTACTTGCATATTAACATTTTTACTTTCTTTCTCCATTTAACAGTTTATAAAAGGCTTTCATAAGTGATCTTATTTTATCTTTATACCTGTGATATTCCAATCCTTGAAGTGGAGAGAAGGGAAATGTAAGAGTATTGTGTTGTGGAGTCAGAGACACAAACCCCAGCTCCCATTCTCAGTCCAGTTTATTGTTCTTTTTTCTGTATAAAGTAGGTATGATCTTAAAAATAGATACCTGTTATTAGTATCTACAAAAGAACCCACAGCAATAATAAGGTTGCATAGCCACTCCTAAGGTTCAAGTTCACAGAATTGAATAAAAATCCTTTGTCATTATTTTAGACTTAACGAGTATAAAAATAGTTAATACAAAAATAAAAAGAAAAATACTTTCTAAAAAATCATAGTATTATTACTAATTATAGTGTTTATTTGCAAATTTAGATCTGTAATAAAATTTATTTTGAGAAAGCTCTTAGAGTTAAGAAAGTAAAAATAGATTTGGTTATTGTAATATTAAATGGGCTTGAGTGTAGTTTTATTACATTGATGCTACACTTTAAATGCACTTCCTCACTTGTAAACTTGAGCTGTGCCAATCTTCAGCCATGACATGTTTTCCCAACAGCAAACCAGGAAAGAAAGGTGGATAGACATTTGAATTTTTATCTCTGCTTTTACCACTTTCTCGCTTTGTGATCATGAACAAGTTATTTTATCTATTTAGTTTTTGTTGTCTTTGTAAAATTGAAATAGTATTTTGAATTGAATACATGTAATTACCCTTTCTGTGTAATCTCTCTTACTATTACTTGATTTCAGAGTATCCTTGATACCTTCTCTTCTCAATTTAAGCCCACCATAAAATTCTGACCTAGTCAAATCTTATATATCTGCACATTCGATATGAATTACTCTCTACTGTGTCATGGTAATATTTTCCATATATTTTATAACACTTTTCCTTCTATTTTTTTTAGTGGTGTTGAACATTTTTTAATGTTGAACATTGTGTTAGTTTTTTTTTTTTTTGAGACAGAGTCTAACTTTGTCCACCTGGGTAGAGTGCTGTTTTGTCATAGCTCACAGCAACCTCAAACTCCTGGGCTCAGATGATCCTCTTGCCTCAGCTTCCCAAGTAGCTGGGACTGTAGGTGCCCGCCACAGCACCTGGCTATTTTTTAGAGACAGAATCTCACTCTTGGTCAGGCTGGTCTTGAATTTAGGAGCTCAAGCAATCCCCTGCCTCACCTCCCAGATTGTGTTAGATTTAGAGAATATAAAGATGAAGGAGATCATGCTTTTGAGGGACTAAGTATTGGGCTTCCTTTATGCTATGTATTGGGCTAAATGCTAAGATACGTATATAGATTACTTAAGAAACTAAAAGACCGGAGCAGCTAATTCTTTCAGAGGTTGTTTAGGAAGATTTCACAGAAGAAATGATTGCTGCTAAATAGCCATTCAGTTGATGATTGAAAGATAAGCATTCATCATGTTCATGTTAATTTTTAAAGTTGGGCTATCATATTCAAAAGTTTCAAAGATAGAAGGTATTTTTTGGTTAGGGTAGGAGAGTGAAGTGCTTTATGACTGGTATGGGTGAGAGTTGATGCTGGAAAAATAGGAGAGGTGAAAATACAGCAGGTTCGTCCCTACTTCAGAGTCTGTCCTCCTTTCTGACTCTTCCTGTGGCTGACTAATCGAAGCCTCAGCCCAAATGCTTGCTTCTCAGAGAGGGCCAGCTTCTTTGATTTCTCTGACTCATTATGGGTAGGTCTTATCTCTTTTTCTTCCCTCTTTCTCTTTCTCACCATCTCTTAAACACCTCATCATTTATCTGTAGTAGTATGTTTACTTTTTCCATTGGGATGTTAGCTCCCTGAAAGGCAGGGATCTTGATGTTTCTTACTTAACCACTGGAGCCCCAGTACCTGGCATAGGTCCTAACACTTAAGAATTTGTTGAATAAATGAAACTGTAAAGTCCTTAAAAGGAAGTGAGTTTTTCTTTTGAAAAGAAATTAGGAACTAAGTGGAAAATCTTTTTGCTCTTCTTACTTGTAAGGTAGAGTGAATACATGCCTGTGTATCTAACTGAGTTACCGTAAAGATTATGGATTTCTGAGTCACATTGCACATTCAGTAAAAGTCAGCAATGATCCTCTTCATCATTTTTAATAAATTAAGATGAGCACGGTTTTTTTTCCCCTTCCCATTATTTACAATTGATCATTTTAGATCTTTTGCCCAAGCAAAATTTATATTTAATTCTGAACTCATAAGCAAAGTTGAAGAGTAAAATGGTTTAAATAGTGACTAAAATATTCTTAGTATTTCGTGTGGTTTTTGCATAGGACTGAACCAAGTTTTAAGTCAGCAAGCAAACCAGGAGATCAGCCCACTGGACAGCATGATTCAAAGGCTGCAACAGGAGCAAGACCTGAGACGATCTGGGGAAGCAGGTGTCAGCAACACCAGCCGATTAAGTAGAGGTAAGCAGGGGTTTTATTTTAAGTGAAATATTAAAATATTTGAAACTCTCATAAACGTGCAGTAGTAAAGAAGTGATCAGATAAATTGTAGTACTTCTACAAAAGGAATAATGCTGTCAGAATAATCGAGGTTTTGTAGAATATTTAATGACACAAGAAAATCATTCATAACAGATTTCAACTTACAGCTAATAAATTTTTAATATGTCTAGTTATCCAGATTTTTTTATATTAAACATGTAGAAATTAGAAAATTTTCAAAAATCTGTTTTTTCAATACTTTATGAAACACAAAGCCACATTCTCGAACATCTCATCACCCTTATTTGTTGTATATTATTAAACTTTAAGAGAAAAGTTAAAGGAAACAATGAATTATAAATGTGCTTGAGATCTGTTTTTACTTGTGACGTTTTCCTGAAAAATTCTTAGCATTTCCTTAAAGCAATGATATATCCTTGGGACTTAATAATTCATAGTCATGATTCCTTGATTGGCCTAATCAGCTGAGTAACTGTGTTTTCTTTTTGTTGAACTTTGCTTATGGTTTAGTTCCTGATTTCATAGTTTAATTATTTATCACAATATGAACTTTTATGTGTAAGATATAGTTTTCTATTTAAACTAATGGATAAAGGTCTTTAAATAGAGCTTACTATGCTAACTTTTCCCTTAGGCTCTATAAGTTCTACCTCAGAGGTTCATTCACCACCAAACGTAGGACTGAGGCGCAGTGGACAAATTGAAGGTGTGCGGCAGATGCACAGCAATGCCCCGAGGAGTGAAATAGCCACAGAGCGGGACCTTGTGGCGTGGAGCCGGAGGGTGGTGGTACCCGAGCTGTCGGCTGGCGTAGCAAGGTACGGGGAGTGTCAGTTATTATGTACTATACTTGGTTGTGTACCTTTTGAGTTACAGTCTTCAAAATACCTTTTAGCTCTGTAGTTTCTCTTAAATTTATCTGAAAGGCTAGTATTTTAAAGTATTCATTGACTGTTGAAAAATTGAATTTCTAAATATGTTATTTTCTAAATGATTTATATAAATGTTGAGAATGGGTTTGTTATGGTAAACAGGATAAAATCATAAATTTGGGTTGACCAAATAGGAGATTTAATGAGCAGTAGTATATTTAAATCTTAAAGCATCTTTATAAAGTTTGCTATAATCATTTAAGTTTTTAGATGGATTTTGCTAAAAAGTCACACCATATTTTTCACAGGCATAAAGAAAATATTGGTAAATTTATAAATTTTTTGTTTATCAAATGATATCTTTTTAAAGAGTATACAGATAAGAATTAGAAGGTAGGTATTGATTTGATAAAATCCTATTCTCACAGTTCATGCTATGAGGTAAATACATCCACTTCCTTTTGACTCTTGAGGCATGAAATCCCCTGAGGACAGTCTTATGAACCAGTTAGTACTGACTTCTGTTCATGGAGTGTGTTCTGAGTGTGATGATCACAATGACAGTAACTAGATAATTAAAATTTTTGTTTCTAAATTTCAGGTTGAGATAAGGGTACAAATGAATAGGTTACAATGTTTAAAGATTTTTAAATCTTAATGTTCACGTAAGTTATGCTTTTTGATGGGAAAATACTTCAAATTTGTGTTAGGATTTAGAATTTGATACACATCTAAGGTATAATGGTCAAATATACTTAATAAAAATTAATTGGTTCTCATAATGTATGTATTCTAAAGTTTGAAGAGAGTCCAATAAATAACTACCATCTTTTCAATACCAGTTCTAAACTAATTGAAAAATAGCACATGGGGAATAAGACATGGAAAATCATACTTTTTATTCCTGATACAGTTGTGGAGAGTGTGGTTTTCCTCTGCATGGAAGTGTGCTTCCTAAAAAACCCAAACACAGATAGCAGCGAGCCACAAGGTTTTCTCTACATATGGCACACCTGGTTTGCCTTTTTAAAATGCAGAACAGAATGGGTACATTGCACCTAACAGCATGGGACTTTTCCTTCTAGAGCATATGAGTTGATAAGTTAGGTCAGTCCTCCCTGGAGAGCAGTGAGGAAGAAGGTGTCGTTGCTGGTTGGTGGTTGAGGTTCCTTCACATGGAAGGAAACACGTTTCTCTTTAAATGTTCTTCATTTGCAATAAAGAAAACCTTTTTATCTCTTTGTTATTAAGTCTATGGTCAAGAGAGGCTGTGACCATCATCTTACAGGGTATTCTGACTTTGGCCTTCTTAGTGCTTTGTCCCCAACGTTTACTCCTCTTCCTTTGGGAATCTTCTGAGATTTTCCCTCCTGAGTAGTTCAGAGTTTACCTCTAAAAGTCTTTGAAGTCAGTCAGCCTGGTACTGTAGTTAAAATTAAATTCAGTCATACATCCAACAGAGAGAAACAAAAAGAAGGTCGATCAGAAAATGGAGAAAAGACATGAGCAGCATTCACTAAAGAGGATCTACAAATAGCAGAGAAGCATGTGAAGCACGTTAAACTCTGTAGTCATTAGAGAAACGTAGATTAAAACCACAGTGAAATACCACTATTTACCTATCAGAATGGCTAAAATAAAAGATAAAAATGACAGCACCAAGTGCTGGGGAAGATACAGAGAAAGCTGAATTGCTTCTGCATTGCTGGTGGGAATGTAAAATGGTAGAGCCACTTTAGAAAACAGTTCTGCACTTTCTGAAAGCCTGAACATGTGAATGCTATATGATCCAACAGCTTACTGTTGAGGATTTACTTTAAAAAATTGAAAACTTGTCTTAATATAAAAACCTGTTCACAAATGTATAGCAGCTTTGTAAAAGCTAAATGCCAGAAAAACATCCAGATGCACTTCACTGAGTATAAAAATCCTGTAGTATATCCATATCATCGAACACTACGATGCAATAAAAAACAACATATTGATAGAACAACCAAGGGGAATTTTGAGGGAATTAATGCTGCGTGGGATAAAATATGTCAAGAGGTTACATTTTGTGTGATTCCATTTATGCTGAGATCTGGGAGAGGAGGGCTGAAGGGAAGGAGAGAATGGTTATTTTTATATAAGGGCTTGCTAAGAGATCTTTGTGGTGATGGAAGTGTTCTGTATCTTGACTGATGGATACAGAAATCTACACCTGTGATAAATGTGCATAGAATTAAATAGAAACATACCTTGAACATAGTGCAGATTCAGTTCCAGATGAGCACAGGAAATACAGCAGTAAAGTCAATACTGCATTCAGGGGACTCACGTGAATTTCTTGGTTTCCCAATGCATATAAAGTTATGTCTATATTATTTTGAACTCTGTTGAGTGTGTAATAGTATTATCACTACAAAAACTTGCACATATTTTAATTTAAAGATACTTGATTGCTAAAAATATGTTTGTGATTATCTGATCCTTAAGCAAGTTGTGATCTTGCTCATGGAGGATTTTGCCTTAGTGTTAATGGCCACTGACTGATCAGGGCAGTGGTTGTTGAAGGTTGGGTTGGTTGTGGCAATTTCTTAATATATGACATTGAAATGTACCATACCGATTGAGTCTTCTTTTAACAAAAGAATTCTCAGTAGCTATGATGGTGTTTTGACAGCATTTGGGCCAGTGTAGAACTTCTTTCAAAATTAAGAGTCAACCTCCTCAAACCCTGCTACTGTTTTATCAACTAAGTACTGTTCATCAACTTTGTTGTCATGTCAACGATATTCACAGCATCTTCACTGAGAGTTGATACCATCTCAAGAAACCACCTCTTTGCTCATCCATTAAGAAGCAGCTCTTCCTCCATTCAGGTTTTATCATGGGGTGGCCACAATTCAGTCCTGTCTTCAGGCTTCACTTCTAATTCCAGCTCTCTTGCTGTTTCCACCACATCTGCAGTGACTTCCTCCACTGAGGTCTCCTCAACCTTCAAAATCATTTATGAAGGTTGAAATGAACTTCATCCAAATTCCTGTAAGTGTTGATATTTTAACTTCCTCCATGAATCCCAAGTGTTCTTGATGGTGTTGAGAATGGTGAATCCTATCCAGATCTATCAGAGGAATCACTCCAAAGTCAGAATTACTCCTTGGACCGCACAGCGGCTATTGTGTTAGCAGGCAGGAAAGCAACATCAGTCTCCTTGCCCATCTCCATCTGAGCTGACCAGGTGACCAGGTGCCTTGTCAGTGAGCAGTAACGTTTTGATGGAAATCTTTTTCTAAGCAGTAGGTCTCAACAATGGGCTTAAAATATGTAGTCAACACACTGTAAACAGATAAACCATGCTGTCATCCAGGCTTTGTTGTCCCATTAATAGAGCATAGGTGGAGTAGACTTAGCATAATTCTGAAGTGCCCTAGGATTTGTGGAATGATAAATGAACACAGGCTTCATCTTCACGTCACCAGCTGGTTAAGACCCCAGTAAGAATTAGCCTCTCCTTTGAAGCTTTGAAGTCTTGCAGCCAGGCACTGATTTCTCTTCTGTAGCTGTGGAAGTCCTAGGTGAGATCTTCTTCCTCTACATGGAAAATCTGTTGTTTCAAGTGTAGCAGTTCTCTTCCTTGATCTTAGCTGGCCTTCTGGATCACTTTCTGTGGCTTCTTCATCAGCCCTTGGTGCTTTGCCTTACACTTTCATGTTCTGAAGATGAGATGGCTTCTTTCTGAAATCTCACGAACCAAGGAAAGTTCTCTCTCAAACTTCCTAGAATTGAAGAGTTAGGGTCTTGCTCTGGATCGGGCTTTGGTGTGAGGAAACGTTGTAGCTGGTTTGGCTTTCTATCCAGACCACTAAACGTACGTACGTACTCCATTCTCCGTACGTACTCCATTCTCCGTAGCAGCAGTCAGGCTCCTTTACTTTCTCATTATTCATTTCTTCACTGCAACAGCACATTTCATTTCCTTCAAGAACTTTTCCTTTTCATTACAACTCTTTGGCACAGGAGGCCTAACTGTTAGCCTGTTTTTGACTTTTAATATGCCTTCCTTACTCTAGCTTTTGATTTACAGGGAGAGACATGTGACTCTTTCTCTTGAACACTTACTTAGAGGCCATTGCAGGGCTTTTTATTGGCATAATTTCAATATTGCGTTCAGGGAATGGGGAGACCCAGGAAGAGGGGATGGACAGAAGGAAAGCCTAGTTGGTGGAGCAGTCGGTCAGCACAAACAACACTTGTTGATAAATTTGCTATTTCCCATAGGCATGGTTTGTTATGCCCCCTAGCAATTCCAGCAGTAGTCGCTAAGATCACTGTTTACTGATCTCTATAACAGATGTAGTAATAATGAAGAAATGTGAAATACTATCAGAAGAACCAAAACATGACACAGAGACATGAAGTTAGCACCTGCTATTGGAATAATGGTGCTGATAGACTTGACTCAACTCTAGATTGCTACAAATGTTAAATTTGTAAAACATTAATGCTGCTAACACTCTGCAGTATCTGCAGAGCATAATAAAACCGTCAGTGCCTGTGTACACTCACAAGTGAGGGGAAGTGAAACTGGGGCACTCTGACTAAGATAAGTGTGTTGTATCAGTGTTGTATCAGTGTGTTGTATCAGTGATACTAGACCATTGTGTTTTAAGACTTTACCATTGGGGGAAAGATAATAAGGAATCTATTATTTCTTAAACTACATGGCTGGCCATAAAATTCATGTGCAATTCAAAATAGTTTTAAATTTTAAATTATACATGAACTTTATGGACACCCTGTATGAATCTATAATTAAAACATTTATAATTATTTCAATGAAAATTTAATTTCAATATTCTAAGAAGAAAAATTTAAATTTAAGCCATTCCTTTTCAAAAGATTTAAATTTACTCATGTTATTTCCCGTTCAGAATTATTGAAGATAATCTGCAGTTAAGTAAAATGACATTAATATACACTAGTAATAAATAAAGAACAGTATATGTTTGCTTAAACTTTGACTATTAATTTATTCCCTTCTCATGAAATCTCTAGGAAGTTATTAAAATTCAAAGATTAAAAAGATACCCTTACAGTTTAAAACTTCAAAGTGTACAAAGTTAAAGTAAAAACAAAAATTGTCTCTGTGACTTTAGGTTCCATGAAATTAAAGTGAAAAATCAGCGTTGCTATACTTTTTTGCTGTTAGTTTCACTTTGATGTTGGAGGTTTTTCAGTAAGTGAAGCCTAACCTGCCTCTCAGTGAAAGCTGTATAATTCAGGGCTTTTGGAGTTTCATCAGTTCAAGCTCAAAGTTCTCTTGTGCCTCCTTTTTTTTGGTAAAGATTCCAGGTACCTCTGTGGCACACAAGATTATCAAAGCATACACACTATACTCACCTGTTTGTTTGTTTTTTTTTTAAGTTCAATTTTTATCTCTTGGAGGAGTTATCCTAGGAATAACTGTGTTCCTAGAATCTCATACTTGATTTCCCAGAAACCATAACAGAAACATTACTATCAAGCTTAAGTAGGCATAATCCCTCTTTCCAGTATTCCAATCATGTAATGTCAGATGCCTGTACCTAAAACCTGTGAAATTATGTCACATGCTTTCATCTGAAAGACAAACTTTAAAGCTAGCATTCCTTCTCTGATACCTAACAATTCCTTAGTAGGGAAATCAGATGTAAAATTCTGGATTAACATATATAACTATTCTTTCAGTAGGCAAGAAGAATGGAGAACTGCAAAGGGAGAAGAAGAAATAAAAACTTATAGGTCAGAAGAGAAAAGAAAACACTTAACTGTCCCAAAAGAGAATAAAGTACCCACAGTTTCAAAGGTAAATATTAATCACTCTGATGTTTAATGTATACTTCATAAGTGTAATGACCATCTCAGGGCCCCTTTTTGTAATTAAAAACATTAATATTATCAATAGGGTAATTAATGAAGTAAAATTAATGTAGTTAATTCTTGATAATTTTTTTGTGTTCTCTACCATTTAAAGTTTTTTTTTTTTTTTTTTTTTGAGACAGAATCTCACTGTGTTGTCCTCAGTTGAGTACTGTAGTGTCACAGCTCACAGCAACCTCAGACTCTTGGGCTTAAGTGATTCTCTTGCTTCAGCCTCCCAAGTAGCTGGGACTACAGGTGCCTGCCACAATGCCCAGCTATTTTTTTTTTTTTTTGCAGTTGTCATTGTTGTTCTGCAGGCTTGGACTCAAACTGTCCAGTCTTGGTGTATGTGACTGGTGTCCTACTCACTGAGCTACAGGCGCTGAGCCCCATTTAAAATTTTAAACTTTACATTTTCTGCTCTCTTGTGTGGCTTTTTCACAAATGCCAATTTTTATGTAGTCATGAAATCTAATAAATTGTATTATAAGCCTAAAGCAGTTTGTTTAGCTCTGCTGTTGTGTGTGATTACACACTCTTTTAAGTGGGGGTAAATGGGCAGGTTTCTATGTATTTTTTTGTTATTTTGTATTCATTTGTTACTCTATAATGAAGTCACCTGATACTGGTGTGAACAAGAGTTCTTATTCTCTCCATTAGGAGAAATAGATTTTCCCTGCTACTTTTGTCTGCGTTTCTGTGCCATCCTACTCCCAAGCACCCCTTGAATCCAGTAGATTTCAGTTGGTCATACCCAGTCAGAGAGAGATGTGCTTAACTCTGCATAGTGTCACGGAATCAAGGGACTCTTAAGTATCCATTTGTCCATTTAGCTGAAAGACTCAACCTCAAAGTCTGAAATTGAGGAAACTTATATGAAACTTCTTTTCAGGTCCAAGTCATCATCTAAGCCAGTGTTTCTCAACCTGTGGGTCGTGACCCACAGGAACTGTGTTAAAGGGCTGCAGCATTAGGAAGGTTGAGAACCACTGATCTAAGCAATGATGTAAACAATGAAAAAAATAACTGGTGTTCTGAGCCAGCTTTGCTCTCCTTCCTCTTTTCATTTGAGTTCCTTAAGCCTGCGTGATCAGTCACCTTCTCTAGAATTCACTTTTTTGTTTTATATCTCTTCAGAATTCCTTTTCTTTCTTTTCTTACTTTTTTTTTTAATTTTTAATTTTTTTTTTTTTTTGAGACAGAGTCTCACTTTGTTTCCTGGGTTGAGTGTAGTGGCTCATTGCAACCTCAGACCCCTTGGCTTAAGTGATCCTCCTGCCTCAGACTCCTGAGCAGCTGGGGCTATAGGTGCATTTCAACATGTCCAGCTGATTTTTCTATTTTTTATGGAGATGGGGTCTCACTGTTGCTTAGGCTGGTCTTGGACCCTAGCAGTCTTCCTGTCTCGGTCTCCTAAAGTGCCAGAGTTACCACCACACTCGGCCGTCCTTTATTCTTTACCAAGGGTATCAGTAGGACCTCAAAGTACTAACATTCCTGCAAGTACAATGAAAGGGATTTCTTTGTGAAATAACGTTTGCTTTCTTGTCGTTTGGATTGGCTTCTGCATGATGACCAGAATGCCTACCCTTATTCTTCTTTTGTGTGGAATACACCAGTGATGAATGTATAAACTCATTTAATGGTGATGAGTCTGTATTGCTTTGTACCAGCTTTATGGATGGAATATGTTAATCTCTGTTACAGTTAGCAGGATGTGCTTACCTTCTAATCAAATAGTACTACTTTGAGGACTTCTTAAGAAATAAAAGGATGGATGTGTATGTGTATACGTAATATCTCTGTGTGTGTGTGTGCGCACACATGTACTCATGTGAATGCATGTATTTATAGGATCTGTGGTAGCAAAAACTGGAATAACTTTAGTGATAGGAGGATAGGATGCTTTTTAAGAAAATAGTTAGAACATACTCTTTTACCTTTGGAAAATGTTTATGATGTACTACTTACTATTACATGATAAGTAGAATCATAGTGCATATGATATGACCTCATTTTTGTTTTTGAAGTTTTATGAGAAGAAGGGTTTCAGAGCACACCTGCCAGCCTGCTAACACTGATAATCAAAACTCAGAGTTTGAGATGCCATCTTTTATTTTTCATAGTTGTAATGTTTTTTTCCTTTTAATATTCAAAGAGCATTTACTGTGCAGGTGGGAAACATAAATTAATACCAAAAAGTACCTAAAAAGCAGTCATAAAGTTGTTTTTTGGCAATATATTTTCCCCAAATTACAGAGGCTTAAACAGGTCACAAAACTTCTTGCTGGCTTGGCGGCCGTGGCACAGTGGTTATAGCATCAGCCACGTACAGCAAGGGTGGCGGGTTCAAACTCCACCCGGGCCAGCTAAACAACGACAATTGCAACAAAAAATAGCTGGGCATTGTGCTGGGCGCCTGTAGTCCAGCTACTTGGGAGGCTGAGGCAAGGGAATCACTTAAGCCCATGAGTTTGAGGTTGCTGTGAGCTGTGATGCTGCGGCACTCTACTGAGGGCGACATAGTGAGACTCTGTCTCAAAAAAAACCAAAAAAACCCCAACTTCTTGCTGACATAAAGCTTGGTTAGGCAATCCAGGCCTGGTTTGGTGCCCTAAGGGTTGAGAATTGAAACTCTTTTATTTTTCTGGTCTTCCTGGATTTGACCTTATCCCTCAAGATATCAGCATCCTCATTTAAAGCTACAAGATGCAAGATCAACCAAAGAACATGCAAAGGGCATATCATTTTCTTATGAGAAGAGTCCTTTGATATTGCTGTGCAACATTGTGCCGGATATCCCATTGCAGAACTTCGTATGTGACACCTGATAAAGTGGATTTTATTTTTTGTGGAAGGAGGGAAGAAACAGGTGTTGGGTAACAACCAGCTTTCTCTTCCACTGCGTTATTTATTTAGATATTAAAAATTGGCTTGGCGCCTGTGGCTCAAGCGGCTAAGGCGCCAGCCACATACACCTAAGGTGGCGGGTTCAAATCC